TGTGGGGGTGGGAGGGTCACAGGGGCTCTGGCAGGGATTCGAGCGGGTGAGCAAAGAGCCCAGGGAAGGCGCTTTGCTCGCCGTGGGCAGGCTAGCAGAGAAGCCAGAGAACGGAGCAGGGGTGCCTGGCCATGCACGAACTGTGACTTCAGCCCCCCCGGATAGAAAAGCGAGCGACAGAGACTAGTCCGCCCAAGGCTGATCCTTTCCCTTCAGTCAGCTCAGCGGGTATCCCCTGCCCTCCCCCAGCGCTTTCCACCAGCTGGGGAATCGCGTCCCCAAGACGAATCGCTGGGGAATTTTATATTCGTGTGCCTTTGCCTGGCGGCTGAACATCTCACGGCCATGTGCACCCGCACACACTTACTCCACACCCCCAGAAGCCAGGCCTATGAGCCCCCATTTTAACTAGTTTAACATATGCGCAGCAAGTGCTGAATAATAAAGTCATACCCATTTGGCAGGTAGGGAAACTGAGGCACGGCATAAGGGTCTCACCCAAGATTACATATCAGGTGAGGGGTGAGGGGAGAACCGGGCTAGTACTCAGGAGCTTGGATACACCTCCTCCCCCCCGCTGTAACCACTAGGAAACTCTTCCCTCTCTCAGAGCTGGAAACAGAACCCAGGAGTCCTGACTCACCCCACTCCCCACCCTTGCCTCCTAGTTGGTAGGCTTGTTTAATTCTGCTGTTTTCCCGGATCCAGAATTATGGGGAAAAATTGGAGGGGGAGCAAATGTAACCCACGCACCCACTGGGTGTGGTTCCCTGGCTCTTGGGGGCCGCATACAGTGAAAATGAGTTTGCTCTACAGCTGTAGCTGCGAGCCAGCTGGCTTTTAGCTCAAGCTGTAGGCAGAGGCTCCTGCACTAAGATCCCCAGGTTCCAGGTTCAGGTTCGCCTGTCGCTGTTACACAAACATTTCTCTGCCAGCGGTGGGGGTGGGGAGGAGGGAAAGGGGCCGCAGCTTTTGAGGTTCGCTCTGTGTCCCCTCAAGTCCCTGACAGCAGAAGCAAACTGCCCTGCCATGCGCCCGGAGAGCGTTTGGCCCCGTGACCCTGCAGCAGACGCTCGCTGGCTGCGCGCCAGCGATCACGGGAGCCGGGATTCCATTTGTCGGATTCCTGAAAAGCTCAGGCTCTGCGACGGGGGAGCAGGGAGAAGGGATTTGGCCTGGGCTAGGAAGCTTGCAGGCTTGGGGCTGTCAACCCAGGGTGGAACTAACAAATCGGGACCCTGCGAGAGGCCATTTTGCCTCCTTTGCCCTCCCTCACACACCGGCTGTGACTTCAGGGACAGGTTCTTCCAGCTCCAACAGTCCTGCCTCCCGCGGCAGGAATTTCCCCACCCTCCCCTGCCTCCGGCCGGTGGGCCGGGAGAGCAAACAGATGCCCCCCCAGCCGCCTGACTGACAGCGCGCCGTGGGCCAAGCAGCTGCCCCGCAGCGGCAGGCCTCGTGTGGACAGCCGGCCGAGTCCGGCAGCCTCCCGGCTGCGCTGGGTCCCAGGCCTGGCCTGGGCAGCCACCTCCTGCGAAGAGGGCTGCAAAGGTTTGCGTGACATGGCATTAGACCCAGCCTGGGGCGTGGGGGGGCCTGTCCAGCTCCCAGGCTCAACGGTCACCCTCAGCTGCTGTTTTCGCCTTCGCCTGGTCCTCGCCTTCTTCTCTGCCCCTTCCTCCTGCCCACCCCGGCGCCTCTCCTCTGGCCACGGGGTCGCTGCCATGGCCTCCGGCCTGCCAGGGTGCAGCTGCTCACGGCCCCTGGCCCTGCTCCGGGGCAGTGCCGGCCCCAGCGGGAGCATCAGCTGGACCCTAGGACTCATCTCAGGCCACAGCTGAGCCAAAGGGTTTGCCTCGCCTTCTTCTCTGCCCCTTCCTCCTGCCCACCCCGGCGCCTCTCCTCTGGCCACGGGGTCGCTGCCATGGCCTCCGGCCTGCCAGGGTGCAGCTGCTCACGGCCCCTGGCCCTGCTCCGGGGCAGTGCCGGCCCCAGCGGGAGCATCAGCTGGACCCTAGGACTCATCTCAGGCCACAGCTGAGCCAAAGGGTTTGCCTCTAGCCCAGTGGTTCCCAACCGGGATCCGGGGGGCCCCTGGGAAGCTGCGAACAGGTTTCAGGGGGGCTGCCAAGCAGGGCCAGTATTAGATTCGCCGAGGCCCAGGGTAGAAAGCTGAAGCCTCGCAGCCAGCGGGGCCAGCAGCCGAGGGGGAAGGTGTGGGGGGGCGCCTGG